TAGTATGATTTAATATCTGTGAGATTAATTAATGTATTGACTCTCGTAATAGTTAATAGTAGTAGAAGCGATTCAGGAGGAAAGAACTTAACCACACCATATAACTCCAGAGTCAGCTCGCAGTAAACTTCATTGAAGAAGCTCCGAGCCACAGAATCGAAGCTTCCGTGACTTCCAGTTCCAGTCCAGCTCCCCACCTTTTTGGCTGAGAGCCTTGTCCATCTTTCCCCTCCTCCCTTTCTGCAACCCCCTCCGAACTCTGCCAGGCAGGCTTTCTACGATTATCAACACCATCCCCCCCCTTTCTTTCTCGACGTTGGTTTACATTTTGATTTATTTTGCCCATCCCCCCTTTTCTATTTAATTTAGTTTGATTCTTTTTTGTTTTCTTTTTTAAAACTTCCTTTGCGCACAGTAGGTGGTTTCCATTTCTCTTCTAATTTATTCTCCCTTCGCGCTCTCATCCCAAGAGACTTTCCACGCGACCCAAAGCAGAGGTGCAGGTGTGATACCTTAACCAGCCTTGTCGGTTACCCCTCCAAAGCTTGTCGCAATTGAAGCTATTTCCCTATTGCCACATTTTTTCTTCCTGAACCCACAAACAGAAACAAGAGAAAAAAAAAAGAAGACAGATATTAAAGAATAAACGGTCTTCACACGGGCTATCCCATACAACACACTCGTGAAACACTGAAATTACACTATCAATTAACACATCTGCATTAAGCCATAGCAGGCGTTGTGGTACTGGAGTCTCCATCAGAGCTACCAGTCGGGAAATCATCCATCATCGACCACACCATCTTTGGTCCGCTGCGTCTTTAGATTATCCAATTAGACTTCTCCTTGAGATACCCACTTTTGGGCGGAGACCCCAATCCATTCCTACTTGTGCTTCCTGTCGGTTTCCCTACCCGCCCCTCATCCTCGTCCTTCTTGACTGTGCTGCTCAGGCTCCTGTGCGCACTCACACATCACCGTTTTCATTTCTTGTTACCGAATTCCTTCCTGAATCCCTTCCTTCATTCTTTCTTCGCAACCCTCCTCTTCACGATACCTCATATCTAACCTTGTCCAGCCAACTTCCTTCCGCCTTTCCTCTCCAGCGGCTTCAAGTCGCGGTATTCGGTTTCCACACGTCTTCCCCGCTTCCCTGTGGCCGGAGAGGTATCTCCTCCGGCCCCTACTGCCGACACAATGGCTGAAAGCTCTTTCTCCAGCGCTAGCCCTCACCTCAAGGTGGGCACAAAAGATGATAAAACATCAGCATTCCGAAAGATCTCAGAGGACGAGGAGTGGGAGGTGACGTCACCAACTGACCCGACCTTTCAAACTGCAAATTCGGCGGCAGCTTCGTCGTCCGCGGGGAACAACCTCTTCGGAGGCAATGTATTTAACGAACAACAAGGAGGGGGAATACGTTTTCGCCGGAGTCCTTTTGCCGACCCTTCTGGGGAGGGAGATGAAGACCATGACGACTTCGACGAACACCCTGAAGTACCTCGCCCGACGGGTGCCTTGAATGAGGGATTCCCGAATAACTACGCATTGGGTCGTCGGACGTCTGTGTCTGCTGAATCTTTGAACCCCACCTCAGCTGGTTCAGATAGCTGGGTGCCCCCGCACCACCCAAAGACCGAAGAACAGGTCTCCAGATTGAAGACAGCCGTCAGCGGCAACTTCCTGTTTTCCCACCTTGATGATGACCAGTTCAAGACAGTTGTCAATGCCCTGGTTGAAAAGCCCATTCCTGCCAAGGGAATTAAGGTGATCTCACAGGGCGATGCAGGTGATTACTTCTACATCGTGGAAGATGGTCACTTCGACGTCTACATTCACCCATCAGGCTCGGTACAATCGGGTTCCGATGGAATGGGGTCCAAGGCAGGTACGATTGGACCCGGAGGTTCGTTCGGAGAACTGGCTCTCATGTACAACGCACCTCGGGCTGCGACAATTGTGTCCACGGACTCGAAGAGTACCCTGTGGGCTTTGGACCGTATCACATTCCGAAGGATTCTCATGGATTCCGCCTTCCAGCGGCGTCGCATGTATGAGGCCTTCCTGGAAGAGGTTCCGCTCCTCTCCAGCCTAAAGCCATACGAACGTTCCAAGATTGCCGATGCTCTAGACGCAATTAAGTTTCCAGCTGGCTCTACTATCATCAAAGAAGGTGATCCAGGCGATGCTTTTTACCTTCTCGAGTCGGGTGAGGCAGAGGCTTTCAAGGAAGGCGTGGATAGACCAGTGAAGTCCTATCAACGGGGCGATTACTTTGGAGAGCTTGCTCTTCTGGACGACCAACCCCGAGCCGCCAGCATCGTTACGAAGACTGATGTGAAGGTGGCGAAGCTCGGTCGGGATGGATTTAAGCGGCTATTAGGACCTGTGGAGGAGATCATGAGAAGAGCTGAGTATGAACAGATTCAACCGAAGCCTACAGCTTCGTAACAGATCTGTTTCGGTTTAGAAGAAGCTGGAGTGAATATCCCCACGTCTTGATATGCGATCGCCTGTCTCATTTTCTTTTTTTCTTTTTCATCTTTCCTTTAATTGCTAATTGTATGTCTTGTTTTGGGTGTCTAATGGATCTAGTGAAGGGAGCATCGGGTGTTGTCTCCAAATACGAAAGATGGGGCCCAAAAGCTCCCCACGTTGCCGGCGAATCATGACTGGTTTTTAGTACTTCTTGTCACCGCTAAGCAAGAAGGTGATTTAGGAGGTGGCTACATGCAGGAAAACTGTTCTTTTGTCGGACCAGCCGTTTGATACCTACGGTTGGTCCGTTTCATGCAGCTGCGTCCTTTCTTCTTTCCAACCATCTCGAATGTTGATCTCGTCACTGAAGTGTGGTCAATATACACATATGTACATGGTCAATCTCGTACATGGCATCTCATATCGCGTCATAGCTGAGAGCCACTTGTTGTGCAAATAGGACTACTGTTATCCATGGCCAGAGGCACACTTGTGAGTAGCGTAGTAAGGATGGGGTCTAGTCTCTAGAAGACCGGAACTCATCATCGGACCACTAAATCACTCCGTAACACCCACTTTTCGCCGTCTGAAACCTCGCTGCCCTCATGCAGGAGACATCGGTCGCCATGCCGATGTAGAAGTGCCATGCCCGTGACAGGGGCCACTGAAACTGGCTCTGGATTGCGATTCCCACGAGTCGATTCTGGGTAGAAGATAGTTTCGCCCCCAGAACAGGTAGTCAAGTATATAAGAAGGGTCCACGTGGTGCGAGCTGGTTGAGAGGGATGTGAAGGGGAAGAGAAAGTGAGGGTGTTGGAGTCGTCGTCTGCAACCATTAGTCTCCCCGCACGTAGACAATGATGCCCGCAGAACTGCTTCTGCATTGTACAGCACATCCGTACAGCCTCTTAAGTTTACCTCTTATCTACGAAAGGTATAACCTATACTGCGGCTAGAAACCACACATCGGGAAAGGGGTGAAAAAAGAGAGGAAGAACTTACAATGCTGCGCAAAAAACTGCCCCTTCGAATACCGATAGATCCGGATATTCGCATTCAACCCCAAAGGCTCCCCGCCCCAGATCTCTTTCATAGATCTCTCCCCCTCCCCATTCCCATTCATCACCAGGTCCTTCAGCGCTGTCCCGCTCCACAACGACTCCGCAAACCGCTCATCCTGGATTTGGAACCGGTCGTTGACGCGAACGGCGTCGCCCTTTTTCGGTTTCCCGGGGGTAGTGGTCAGGGGCAGGGAGGAAAGGAATGAGACGTAGGTTTTGCAGAGGTTTGCGGTGAAGAAGTTTGGGATGAGGTAGATTTGGTCGGGGAGGAGGGGGTCGAGGGTGAGGTCCGATGAGGGGATGAGGGGGCGGAGAGGAGGCCAGTTTGGCTTGGGGGTTTGCTGTTGTTGCGGTTGTTTGGGGGGAGCGATGTCCTTTTTGGATTTGGACTTTGGGGCATGGTTTTGTGTTTGTTTTGGTTTTTCTATTTTCCTTCTTCTTGTTCTTCGCTCTTTTGCTTGGTTTTTCTTTCGCGGTGGGTGTTTGGCTGGTTGGTTTTTGGTTTATGAGGGGGTTTTTTCCCGGTTTCTTTGTTTTTGGGGTTAGAGCGGAGGTTTGAGGAGTATTTTCTTTCTCGTATTGATGGTACGGTATTGAATGTCAATGGGGATATAGATATAGGTACTTATATAGAACAGTGCACAAACTTGGTAGTTGGTATAAGCGTTATATTATCGTTATCTATATGTATTCCCCAGATTTGATAGTGATAGCTTCATGAGATAAAGTTCTGGTCGAGATCGACGAAGTGGTGTTACCATCTCTGGATCCGTGGAGGAGAAACTGCAAGTAATGCAGGGGATTTCTTGGCATTGCTGTATTTAGATTCTGGAGTTGAACTCTTTTGGTTCTTTGTTGTGGTATACTTATACTTCCCGACTGGTAGTTACACTTTCTTTTTCCACAGGTACCTAGTACAGATATGGGCCGAGTATGTGCAAATATCGTCGAGTCAACGCTTCTGGGTGGTAGGGGAGATCGCAACCTGAAACAGAATGGATGATCTGCCTTGGTACGAGGTAGTTATGGGTCAATGTACAGTACATAGGTACTGACTAGTTTACAAGCATCATACAGAGAGTAACACAACTCAAACATCGTCACACATGGTCCTCAGTCTTTCACAAGCATGAGCTCTTGATCCGGTCGTTCCATGCATGTACTCGGTACCTCCTGGAGTAACAGGTCTAAACAATGCAACAAAATACTCGAGAACAATAAGAGATCCGGACCGGTACCATACACGTACAGTACCTGTAATCACATGACCACGGGGTGTCGGACCAGTAAAAGCGGCAGAAAAAAAAGAGAAGAAGAAAAAAGTAAAGAAAAAAAAAAAACGACCGGCTCCTCTTTTCTCCTGCCAGTTAGATTGTCTCCTTCCATGGCCTCACTTCACCGCCCAGCTTCTCTCATCCCTCCAGCCCGTTGTCTTTCTTCAACCAGCAGCAGCCGCCGGTCATGTCGTCGTCGCAGACCATGACAGCGCCAGCGGTGGGCCATCGACCGCCTGATGCTGGTCCCAATATGTCGTCAATCTATGACTATGGTCGTTCTCAACAGCCTGACGACCATCGGTCCCCCTCCCCGCCCAGCGACTCCGCAATCCGCGCTTTGAACGATTCTGCCCCCGACCCCCCCCGATGCTCCTTCCAATGGCCTGGCTTCTCCCTCCGGCATGATGCCTGTCAAGTCCGAGCCCAATGAGAATGCTTTTCCTCCTTCCGCTGTCGAACAAAGCTCGCAAACCGATACCAGGCGTCAGTCCGCGGCCAGTGCGCTCTTGGCTCAACTGCTCGGCAACCAGTCGTCAATGCCTTCCGACGGACCAGGGCCCTCTGCGGAACGCTCTGTACCTGCAGCGCAAGACACGAGCCAACACCAGGATATTGATGATGCGATGAATGGGCAGTGGTCGACCGACGCGCCTGCGGGAACACGGCGATGTCTTCAGACCCGACCGGGGGCCAAGACCAGATCCCGGCCAACTCGAATGAGTTGCCGGAGTCTCAGCAAGAACAGAAAAACTCCGACCAACCGCCGGAGGTACCATTTTCGAACCCAGAGGAGGATCTGAGCATATCATTGAAACATGCCGACCCCTCGGAAGGCCTCACGGACCCTCTACTCTTTTCGAAGTCGGGCCTAGACCATTCCGACCTATTTACGCCGTTTGATATCACTGGCGCTGCTAAGGACCCGTTTGAGGCATTACAACAAAATGAAATGCTTACAGCTGCGTATCTTTCCCAGAGCGCTGACCTGTCAGCTCTTGGATACTCCGGAGGACATCTACAGGACACCGGTTCGATCGCGGGATCAGAGCCTCGCATCCAGGCTTTTGCAAAACTGGAATTCGATGATGGCCATTTCTACTGCAACACATATTCCTTTATTCTCGGACGAGACGTACGGGCTGCCCGGGCCGCCCATCAGCGCGAATTGCAGGTCCGACAAGCCATGAGACACTCCCGCGCGAAAAGTTCGAGTGGTGGGAATACGTCGCATACTCCCATCCGAATGAAACCTGAAGGCAGTGGCATGATAGGCAGCGTTGTCAGTGACCGCGGTGGAATTATGGGCTTTGATCCCGATGTTCCCCCCATCTTCCTTCCCGTATAAGTCGACGATCGTCCAATTCTTCCCACGCCGAGTCGGGGGCTCCGATGCATGCGACACCGGCCCAGCTACAGTCGAATACCACTGATTACAATGCTCTTGCTATGGAATCTTTGAATGATGAGGGTGGAGATGCAAAACCGGTTGATGCTTTGGCTTTACTTCCGTCCCCGGATTCTTGTCCAACGATCCCTATTCACCCTCCTGCCACAACAGATGGTAGTGCCGCCGGACACCGAGGTATCTCACGGAAACATGTAAAGATCGCATATAATTTTGATAAGAATCTCTTTGAGATGGAAGTTATGGGAAGAAATGGTGCGTTCATTGGTGCGGATTGGTTATCGCCGGGTCAGATCAGGCCTCTACACAGCGGCGATTATATCCAAATCGGAGGTGTCCGAATACGATTTCTACTTCCAGATGTACCAATTGGTGAGACCGGTGCCGATAGGGTCGAGGAACCCCACGTGGCAGAAGAAGAGAATGCGCAAACTTCAGTCCCTGCAACGGAGAACGATGAAGATGAGAAACGCCGCAAATCTGAAAGTACAGAGAACAAAGATGCCCCGAAGACCACCAAGATCGTTCTTAAGACTAGAGAACCTGATTCGACTCGCCCGGTACCGTCCATTGAAAGTTCTGCTGATGGCCAACAACCTATGCGTCGTAGAGGCCCGGGACGGCCACCAAAGGATGGCATTATGTCGAAGCGTGAGCGGGCCGAGTTGGCCAGGGAACAAAAGTTAGCTGCAAAACGTGAGGCAAATGGAGGTGTCACTCCTCCCCCTGCCAACCGGCCGAAGGCCGGAAAGACCACGACTACGGGTACTGTTCCCACTACACCCAAGGAGTCTATGGGCGGAGAGTCCCCTGGATCCAAACCTGAAAAGCGGAAGTACACCAAGAGGAAGAAGCCCGATGGCACCCTTATGGACTTCCCTCTCCCTTCTACAGAAGGTGGCCAGTTCCCTATGGATCAGCGCCCAGAAGACTTCATCAAAGCCCCTCCGGTCAAGAAGCGCAAGCCCTCGCGTTCACCCTCGCCCAACTACCCACCAGAATCTGCGTATACTCCGGAAGATCTGGCCAAACCGCCCTACAATTATGCGGTTCTTATCTTCGATGCGCTGACCGAGGCTGGCACACCGATGACGTTGAAGCAGATCTACCGTGCGCTGAAGTTAAAGTATCCTTATTTCCGTTTCAAGTGTGAAACTGAAGGCTGGACGTCCAGTGTGCGACACAACCTCAACGGCAACAGCCATCTCTTTATGCATGCTGAGAGAGATGGCAAGGGATGGTCATGGCAACTACGTCCGGGAGCATCAGTCGAAAAGGAGAAGAAGAGGCGTCCATCGCCGCCGCCGCCATCACAGCCGCCGCCGATGCCTGCAGCTCCGCAGTACATGCCTCCTATGAACCCAGCGTACTCCAACCCGACGAATGGGCAGCCAAACATGGCGAACCCTCATTTCCAGTTTCCATCAATACCATCAAATCCATACCCTGCGCCCTCACCTGCACCTGCTCCTACACCTGCACCTCAGCAATCAAATCCTTATCCGCCACCATCTCAACCCGCCGCCTCTACCCCTTTCCCCATACCAAGTCCACTAAGGAACAACCTCCCCCCTGCTTTTGCTCAGACAGTGCCGTCCACATACACTTCCCCATATGCCTCCGATCCCCCTCCACAGCTGATTCAATATCAGCAATCGCAGCAACAACAGACCATGCCGACACAGCCCCAGCATCATTCACCTTATCCGCCAGCCAACCCTGCTCCGCCGCCACCTCCTCCCATGTCAATGAACCCGCCATCTCAAAACCTTCCACCCAACCCAGGCCCACCCATGCAACACCAGCCCAATCTTGGTATTGCCTCAGGCGAGCCCAGTTCCGGACCTATGGACACTTCCGAAACGTCTTCGTTCAATGACCGGGCAAACAAGGCGATTGATGACTTCGAAGCGGTCCTCATGGAGGATTATGAAGACAAGAACTATATTCGAGAGGTACTTAAGAGCGCCCGCGCCCGCGTCCTAGGAGAGGCCACGGAAAGCTCGTTTCCTGGTGGCGAGCCGAAGGACGAGGCAGTCATTCTCGATGCGCTTCGCGGCCTAGTCGGAGACTTGAAGGGTGAGTAGACCAGGAAAACGGCTCCAGGAATCCTGCATGGTTGCGCATGAGACATCAGGTTGCTCTACAGGATTGCTTGGATTGAATGAGTTACGATTTGGAATTTCTTTCTTCTTATGTTTACGAACGTCTACATTCGGCGATTGGTCTGGTGTTGCAGGAGGTATAAAATTATGGGACCCCATGATCGGTGACACAGCTGTCACCGATCTCACGAGTATGACATTGTGTTTTCCTCCTTAGTGGTGTTTCCCTTTCTGTTATTCTTTATTTTTTTTTCGCTATCTCGATTTCTTTGTTCGATGATATCCACTACGTTCTGGGCTTCTTTTGATTCATGTCGTGGCCCCGGAACCATGAGATTTACCGGGTAAATTCTTTCCATTGTCGTGGCAGGTGCAGGAGGCAAAACTAGGAGTTAGTTGCATAGACAAAAGATGAATCTGGGCATTACTGTCAGTCAATGACATTTTTTTTTCCCTTCACTGTTCCGTTGGTGATTTGTCTTTCTGCATTCTAGATTCAGAGCCCGAATTTCCCCTAGCTGCAGGTCAGTTTCTAGGGAATCCAAAGCCTCTTCAGGTCACGGGAGAAATAGTTGTTGGAAACCGAAGATAGCCGACTGGCTGGGGTGTATATCCAATCCACACGAAGTATACAACCAGGAAGTTGGGTGTTTAAGGCTCTAGAATGTGCTGCTTTCCAGTTGGGGTTGAGTCCGTTAGCGAGGATCGGGTTAGTGGGCGGTTAACGAACTTGATGTGAACGATATTGCAGCGGTTCGGCGGTTTTACCCCTCACCACCGTCGTCCATCTTCCTGACTTTTCTCAAGGTTCCTTAACTATCCGATGACAGGCACCAATACTATTCGTGGTGTTCTTTTCTTAGTTGGAAGTCAAACCCAACAGACATTTCGGAGGCTTGTCTTCCTAAACCCAAGGGCTGAATTAGTGGTCTACGGTCCCTACGTCAGGGAGCATGGCGAGGTAATATGGGATAGGTCAGGTCATCGGGCAGCGATGTCCTGTTTCCAGTTCGTTTAGATTTTTTTTTCTTTCATCTAAAAAATCCAAATATATATTTACTTTCACGCAGGCTCCACCCCCACTTTACCCGATTGTTTAGACTGCATAAGCATGGGTTTTCTCAGGTAAAATAATCATATAATGAACTACCTCGCGTTCCGTTCTTCCGAAGTATCGAGATTTGAAAGATATGCCAGCAAGGGGGATCTTGATGTCATGTAGATAAAACAATCATATACCGTACATATGTACAATCATCCGTACCTACCGTTGATGATGTGCAGTCTGAATAAGGACTGGCGAAGGGACACCGCGTACCTTACGGACGAGTGAGTTGGACGGGTGTGGTCTGGCTGGTTATACAACTGATGGGGCAGTGATTCGTTGGACCCCCCGACGATGCGCTGTAATATGGAACCGATGGTTGATGGCGATATGGTACCTGAGCAGGTACCACCCTATAATGGGGATGCGTTAAAAAAACCCTTCCCCCATCTTGGCAAGAGTCATTCGATCATGGACTTTGACTCAGAAATCCAGCAGGAAAAAACGAGGAGGGGGGCTAATCAGTGGCTGGGTATATATTTCCATCCATCTGGTTGGTAGTTTGCCTGGAGTCACACTCGCCGAATGACGAGGGGATCCGGGCAAATTAGGGCGCGCGCAGCAGCTGAGCTGGATTGTCCAGCCATCGGATGACTGACGACTTCCATGGAGGCCTTCTGAATTCTTGAATCTAGTATGCCTGGACAACTGCAGTCACTTCAGTCAGCGTCTCATCTGACGTCGGCGGAGCAACGAATTATGTGGGAAGAATGTTTCCCGGATGCACGCGAGAGGCTATTTCGCGATTGACGCATTTCTTTTTTGGCTTTCTTTCCAATAAGTGTCGGTCGGGGACATGCCTAATTTGACCCGGCTGTACTGTTGATGCGTGTGTCTGTATGTGCGACTACATACATCGTACATCGACTCTGACGGGCTTTTCCCGGGGGATTATTACTGCCATGTCTGACCGATACAGTGTATCGTTTTTAAAATGAGGCGTTCTTCTTGCCACCAGTTCTGCCCTTGCTTTATCTTTCTTTGGATGCATGGTGTCATAATAGAGCACTGAGGCTGGGTATGATGTTATGAATTGCCACCGGGACAACAAGTTGCATCTTGATGATTCTCTGTCCAAACAGTGCTATGCCTTTGTATGTAGTATGTATGTACGGATACTTACAAACATACATACATACAAACAGAAGACTCTTGGAAGACAAGATCGTTCAATCTTTGTCATCATCCCCCCCCGTGACCCTCGCATTATCCCCTCTTAGGTAATCCCGTTCGTCTGAAGAGTTGAAATTTCGCCAGTGGATTTTCCATGACCGAAAATAGACAAGTTCCAAGCCCACTGCACCAGGATCTTCCCACTCTTAAGTTTTTTTAACACTAGCCCCGTAAAGTACGTAGTGTGTTCGTCGTACGTACCACCCGGAGAGACACGTTTTTAATTTTTCCTCGACTTTATTATTTTAGCACGGGGGAGGAAGGAAAAGGAAAGGTGCACGTCCCAGAAAACCCACCGCGAAGGTTCGAGGCAAGTCCCTCTCTCTCCTCTAGTCGACTTGCTCAAGAACGGGCGTCACGCCCTCACTCTGATACGTACCCTCCAGGTATGGAGTACAAAAATTATCTCCACCGCGGGCAGTCACTATCGCAGTAGTTCACCTGTGCCCCCCTTCCAATCACTCAGTGAGAGTGTGACTGCGACTTTGCATCAGTGCTGCCTTGTTGGGTCGGTGGTGCTCCCAGTCACGACGGTTACTGGTCCTTTAGCTTTAGGGAATTCCACAGCCTCGCATTGCCTCTCTTCTTGTTCCACCCTCCTATTTGGTAATGGGTCGTGTTGTTTTTATTTTATTTTATTTTTATTCTGTACAGGAGAGGTCCTGATCCTCTTTTATGACTCTTGTTGCATTGCATAGATTATTGATGGGTTATTAAAAGATCGTTGTAGAAAATAGAAAACAAGAATAAAAAATAAAAAATGAGAAAAATTGTATCCATATTGTAATGCATCATACCCTATAATTCTCTCTGATACTTCTCTTTTACTATTATTATCTTGATGAATAGGGATCAGTGCAGAATCAGAACAATCAATTTCTTTCTTTCGTTGGTAGTATCAAAGTACGTCGAAGGGGTTGAAGAAAGAAAATCCCCAAATTAAAGATCAGAGAAAAAAAAATATAAAAATAAAAATAAAATAAAAAACCGATCCCCCAAAACGGCTCCAGCGGCAGGTTTCTCATACCTACCAACCTCATTCACTCACCCCGACGACTAGCCCGAGGGAGGTGCCCCATCTGTATGGCGGTCTCCTGTAGGTGAACCCCTAATGAATGGTGATTCAGATGAATTATTACTGTTTACTTCGGAGTAAACAAATTTGCGGTGCTTGGTAGAAGCTGAACTCTACTTCACAAATCACTACATATAATATTTTTTCTCTTTTCTTTTTTTTCACTCTTTTGTCTAAAGAGCTTCAGCTAGACCTCTGACCGCTAGGGAAACCAGCAACGAACCATGGATCCGTTGCTTCGTTAGTGTTCTGGTCTCTTGGTAACTGACGATGAAGTACCATACCATCACACTGCAGGTAGGGGAGTTTTTATTTGACTTTAGTTTTTTATGTTATTTTAATTTTTTCTTTCGCTACCCTTAAACTTGAAACCCTTGGCCGCGCTTCTCACTTTAGGACAAGAATTCCATGACGGGGGAAGACTTAATATACATACAGTAAGAAATTTCTGTTTAGAAAAGAAAACTCTAAAAAGAGGACTCCCGGTCGGGTCTTGCGGCTGGGCCAAAGCCCCCCCCTTTGCCTGCACCCTCTTGTTCTGGTGCTTTCTTTTCCCGCCATTTCATGATTCCGGGTGGTTTGGTTGGGCGATGGTAATTTCGCTGTGACGGTTAGAATTAATTTCTAACTGCTTTTTTAATTAGGATGGTTATTGTTATTCTTTCGGTCTTATTATCTTTTTAATGTCTTAACACCCTTTTTTTGAATCAACACTCTTCACCCTTTTCTTTTATTTCTGGGTCCTCCTGACCGGCGGATAGATAGACCAAACTTACTGGACGGTAAAAAATATCATATAAAATAAAAAATAAAAAAAAAATTCTGTTTTTCGTTTTCTAAAATCCGACTCGTCCGGCCGGTGGATTGGGGACAGTGTATGGGCCTAGTACAGACAGAAGGCGGATGGTACTAGACGGACGGACTTAGTGTAGGCCTTCGGAAGATTCCCACGATGAATCTAGTGACAGTCATTGAATGGAAAGACCCCTAACAAACTTCCTTTAGAATTTCGTTACTCGTTCAGGAGTCTGACTAACCCGTGACCCGGAGATCAACCTCAATCCACAATCCTCAACGGACGATGGTTACTAACACTCTCTGACACCTCTGAATTTACCACTAGCCTTCTTTTCTCTCCGTCTCCTGCCCTTCACTCTACTTCTTTTTTCCCTCCCTTCCCCCCATCCTTCTCTCAGTCTCCCCCTCGCCTCGTTCCCTTCTCCATTTCTTTCCTCCACCTTTAACCGCCATTGTTCCTTTAATCTTCTTGAGTTTTTATTCTCGGGATTTTTTCTTCGCCATATATTCCTCTTTGGTTTGCCTCTTTAACCCTCAACGAGCTTTTCACTAAGTGTCGTTGTCTTCGTGGACCGGGGCTGTCTCCTTCGAACGCGTGAGAAAGTGACCTTTATTCCTTATCACTTTAAGCAAAGGAAACCTCCCCCGTCGCCTTCCTTGGCTCCAACCTTACCCCCCGACGAGTTCTCTTTGTCGCTAGCCTCAATTCTTTTCTGGGACATCGTGCCATTGGCTCTATTCGTCCCAGCCTTTGGAGCCCATCCATTTTGGCCACAGCCGTCCACGCAACGAAAAGAAAGGATCCACAGACTCTCACTAGAGGACCAAGGAAAAGCAAACAGTCAAATAAAGCGCGCTCCGTTCGCCTTGCAACTTTCATCTGTTTACAACCGCATCCCCGGTTTTGATACGTGCCGTTGAAGGATACCTCCATGTTATTCAACTAAGAGATACTCACAACGCAAAACTTCAGAGCCGCGGCTCACCGAGCAACGCTCTCCCCCCAGGATCAGGGCCTGGCGGACGTGTAGACGGTTCGTATCTGCTCTCCAATTTTTCTGTGTTGCCCTGATTTGTGGAGATCTATTTTACCATGGTGGTATAATATACTGACTGGCAACTCTTACTCTGTACAGCACCAGAACCGTCTACCTTCGCCATCCTGAACTGGTTTTCTTTTCTTTTCTTTTTATTTCGTTATGCCGTCCTTTTTCGCGCCAGGCCTTCAAGGCCTGCCTCCTACTCCCCCCACATCATGAACGGTGGCAGAATTGACTCCGAGCACCCTTTTTACGTGGTTGGCCACTCCGCCTTTCCCCCTCGCTACTCGCAGAGCGGTTGTGAATTTATTGAGCAGTACTCCCAATCGACCTGCTACTCCAAGCCCGCCCCGATGAACATGCACCCGTCGTCGATGCGCAGTGGCAGAGATATGGCCATGATGAACCAACCCATGTTCGGTCCGATGCCTACCGCGAATGTGCTGCCTCCCCTCCGAAACAACGTCCAGCTACCCCCTATGGACAGCGCAATCCCGCCCCAGTACCGCCGACAAGACGTCATGGTGCAACCCGAACAGCAACCGCGCAAGGAGGAGAAGGCTACCGGAGGTGTTGCAGCCCGCTTGGATTATGAGATGGACCAGATGTCCGACTTCGTGGCTGAGATGGCCCAGGGAATGTATGCTTTGTACAACACCAAGATTCACCTAGCAGATATTGACTTCGCGCGAAGCGTCTACCCAGGAACGTCAGTCCCGCCGCAATTCCGGAAGTACGTCTTTCAGATTCTGTCGTCGACTCGCTTGCCAAGCTCGACGATTCTTCTGGGTCTCTATTATTTAGCCAGCAGGATGCGCATGCTGTCTTCTTCCAAGGTGTTTTTGTCTGGCAATGGTCAAGTTTACCGGATGCTCACCGTAGCCCTCCTTCTGGGGAGCAAATTTTTGGACGATAACACCTTCCAGAACAAATCGTGGGCAGAGGTCAGCAACATCCCGGTGAGCGAACTGAATACGATGGAGCTCGAATGGCTATTTGCTTTTGAGTGGAAGATCCACGACCGCATCTACGACGATCAGGACGGATTCGCATCCTGGCGCTCTCACTGGGACACGTGGCGGGCGAAGAGCGCCCGGGCCCATGATTCGCGTCACAACCTGGCCCCGATCGACACTAACGTGTCCAGGGGTTCTAGAATCTCCAAGCCGCTCATGTCCCCTGAAGGCC